GAGCTTAAAGGGTGGAGAATACGGATGATGATAATCCCGATCGTTCTAGTGGTCCTTTGTGACCTTTTCGTCGCTTTCACGCCACTACGTTTTTGCTCTTTGAGTGGGCGGGGTCTGTAATGATCACAGACTGGTGTGCAAAATTCGCAGCCGGAGATCGTACAGTCAGTGAGGGAACTGGAATCTTCGCCTAGAGTTTGAGTCCAAACCCAGCAGATAAATGCAGTATTGAGTTCCTTGGACAGACTAAGCACTGTGCTAGCCTTTGGCTGTTATTAGGTGTCGGCGATTTGATCACAACTCATAGCGACGATCCTGTGCCATCATCATCTCTGGTATACCTAAGCCCATTACAGCCACTATGTCAGTCTGTTGGGGTCTACCCCTCTTTCACTTACCCTTCACTTTTCCCAGTGTGATGTCTTTTCCAGGGACTGACTCCTCTTTTTTTTTTTTAAGATTATAATGAACATTTATAAAGAACTTGGATTTCCATTCATTCATTCATTGTTGCACATTTCATCCCTGTTCCACCTCTCCCACGAGTTCGCTTTTTCTTTGGGGAAGTTCTTTCATTGTTATACATTCCCCACCCCCACCACCACTTTACTATGCAACTCTTATTCTGGACTCTTGTCATACCAATAATACCTAATCATACATTCCTTTTATACAGTTCTCTCCTTCGTCTGTTTCAATGCAGTGTACATTCATCCCCTCTTAGTTTCCCCCCAACCCCCATGTCAGTCCTGTACTATAACAGAGACATTACGGAGTAATTGTCTTTTTGTCACTGAGATATTTCACTCAGCAAAATGTCCTCCAGGGTCACCCATTTTTATTTCTTATATATATACACACACACACAGACACACACATATATAAGTATTTCACGAGTTCTTTGTTTTTCATTGCTGCATAATATTCCATTGTGTGATTATACCACAGCTTCTCTATCCATTCGTTTGTTGATGGGCACTTGGGTTGTTTCCAACTCTTTGCTTTTGTGAACAGAGCAATAATAAACATGATGTGCAAGATTGGCTCCTCTTAACAACATGCTCAAAGTATGTGAGACTAAGTTTCACCATTCTTGTCTTGAAGGAGCACCTTGGTTACACTTCCTCCAAGCATGTTTGCTCTTCTTGCAGTCCTTGGGATATTCATTAGTTTTCACCACTGTAATTCAAAGGCATCAGTTTTGTTGTCCTTGTTCATTATCCAGCTTTCAAAAGCATAGGAAGTAATTTAATTAAGCACAACATCATCTTTAAATTGACATCCTTGCCTGTTAGAACTCTGACAGCAGATTTCCCCAGTGCCACATGTTTTTTAATGTTTTTACTACTAGTAACAAGGATGTTGATTGTGGATCCAAGTAATATGAAATTGTTGACGATATCAAACTTTTCTACATCTGTCTTGATGTTAGGGAGCTCTGGTGGCCTAATGATAAGGAGCTATGCTACCATCCTCAAGATAGGAGGTCTTTCCTCATAATATATATATTTATTGCCTCTGAAAACATGCTGGAGAGTCAATTATGAGTCGTTTCTGACTTCATAATATACAACAACATCATCATAATATTGCCTGTTGGCCCACTGGTGTTGAGATGTAACCAGTATTGAAGGCTGTAGTCTTCTATCTTCTGCAGCATGTGTTTCAAGGCCTTTAAACTTTCAGCAAGCAAGGTTGTACAATGTGCACAGCGCAGGTTGTTGATGAGTCTTCTTCTCATCCTGATTCCACATTCTTCATAGAGGCCAGCTTCATTTATCCAGGGAAACTACCAGCAGTATATACTGATAAACACTTTGCAATGCATGCTCATTGACATAAATGAGGGAGCGAATAGACCTCCTTGCTTCAGGAAGACCTCTCAAAAAAAGGTGACTGTCAAACTAGGTTTTGAATAATAATAATAGTTGTTAGGTGTCATCTGGTCGATTTTAACTCAAAATGATCCAGTGGACAACAGAAGCAAGCGTTGCTGATTTTGCACCCTCTCACTCTCATTGCTGTCTTTGAGCTCAGGTTTGCAGCTGCTGTGTTTGTTCATTTCATTGAAGGTCTTGCTCTTTTTTTCTGAACCACCTCTTTTGCAAGCATGATACTACTGGTCTTTTGATAAGATGTCCAGAGGACATGAGATGAAACCTTACCATCCTCAATTCTAAAGAGCATTCTAACTGTACTTCTTCCAAGACAGATTTGCTCATGCTTCTGGTCAAAGTTAGGATATTAATAAATATTTAGAACCAGTTTTAGATGTGGGTCTGTGTGATTCCACAGGTAGAGCTCTTAAACTCTAGGCTGCTGAAAACTCTCTGGAGGGTCAGCTTTGGGTCAGTTCTGACTTGACGGTTCACAACAAGAAGGCTTGTAGGCAAAGCACTCCTTAAAAATAGAAAAAAAGTAGGAGGCATCTCCCTCCCTGATTTCAACTCTTACTACACTGCCGTGGTGGTTAAGACAGCATGGTACTGGTACAATGACAGACATATAGATCAATGGAATAGAATTGAGAACCCGGAAATCAGCCCATCTGCCTATGGTCAGCTGATTTTTGACAAGGAGATGAAATCAGTTAAGTGGAGAAACAACAGCCTTTTTAACAAATGGTGCTGACAAAATTGGAAAGCTATCTGCAGAAGACTCAAGCAAGATCCATACCTCACTCCATATACAAAAACCAACTCAAGGTGAATCATGGACCTAGGACTAAAATCAAGAACTATAAACTTCATTAAAGAAAAGCTTAGAGGACCTCTAGTAGTCCTAATCCACAACATAAACAGTCTTCCAAGTATCCTGAAAAATCTACAACCAGGAGAAGATAAAATAGATGAATGGGATCTTCTAAGAATCAAATCCCTATACACATCCAAAAACTTCTCCAGCGGGTAAAAAGGGAAGCCACAGACTAGGAAAAAGTGTTTGGTAATGACATGTCAGATAAGGGACTTATATCTAGAATTTACAAAATACTCAAGCACCACAATAAGATAAAGGTAAATAATTCAATTGAAAAATGGGCACAGGATATGAACAGACCCTTTACCAAAGAAGATATTCAGATGGCCAACAAGCACATAAATGTTCAAAATCCCTAATTCTAAAGAAATACAAATCAAAACACTATGAGATATCATCTCACCCCAGTCAGAATAGCAAAATTTAACAGAACAGCAAGCAACAAATGCTGGCGAGGTTGTAGAGAAACTGGAACTCTTATTCACATTGGTGGGAGTGTAAAATGGTGCAACCACTGTGGAAAGGGATGTGCTTTCTCAAAAAGTTGCAGATAGAGATACCGTTTGACCCAGCAATTCCGTTACTGGGAATATACCCCAAAGAGACCATAACTGCCATCCAAGCACATATATCCATACCCGTGTTTATAGCAGCTTTGTTCACAATAGCAAGGAGTTGGAAGCAACCTAACTGCTCATCAACAAATGAATGGGTAGAGAAGCTGTGGTATATTCACACAATGGAATACTACACTGCATTGAAAAACAAGGAACTGCAATATTATTCAAAATGGGTGACCCTGGAGGACATTATGCTGAGTGAAATACCTCAGTCGCAAAGGGACAAATACTGCATGGTACCACTGTTGTAGAGTGGGACTGACATCAGGGTTGGGGTAAGACTGAGAAAAACTGGATAAATTATGTATACTGTATTGAAAGAAAATATTAGAGGCGATATATGATTGGGTATTATGGTTATCACAGAGAGTCCAGAATGGGAAAAAAAAGTCCAGAATGAAGGTTACATAGTGAAGTGTACTCTGGATGGGGAGTGGGCGGATTGTATACCAATGAAGAAATTTTTCTTTTCAAAGAGAAGAGTGAACTGGAGGGGAGGGGTGGGAAGGGAGAAAAGTGCAACAGTAAATGAATGGAAATCCAAAATCTCTGTAAATGTTCATTAGTATGTACAAAAGTGTGAGAGTATGAAAGTGCTTGCTCTGTGTTCCTGAATGGTTACATGTCTGTGGGTACTTTTTCTTATTTAGACTGGATTGGTAAATTGGATTCAGGTTAAAATGATCATACTAAAGAATTTTCACTGTATCCTATAAGCAAGAGAGAGCCATTGGTTTTAACTGGTGGAAAAATGTATTTTATTTGTCTTAAAACAAGTCAAATAATCTATACTGTTTAGTTACTTGAAAAAAGACATCATGCTTTTTTTAAGAGAGAGGTCAGCAAAGGAGAGAAAGACCTTTAATGAGGTGCATTGAGAGAGTGACTACAACAGTGGGTGTGAGCTTGGCAGAGAGCATTACAACGGTACAGGAAGGAGCAAGCTTCAGGTCTCTTGTTCACAGGGTTGCTGTAAGTCATAGTTGACTTGATGACACCTAACAACTTTTAGTTTCTGGATTGTCAGGTGAGAAGGATGGGAAATCTGGAGCATTGGAGACTACAAATGGTAAGAGAGGGGATCCTTACTGTACATCCAGGAAAATTACTTGAGGAATCTCTCCAATTCACTAGCTTAATTTTTACTTAATCCTTTATTTCTCCAGCACAAAGGACATGTTTTCCAAAATGCTTTAACTATTTTGGAAACTACAGAAGGTCCTTTAGGGGATAGTCCATGCAATTATAAATTTCTCAATTCAGTAGGAGAAAGATTGTTTACCTTCATGAAGCAGTAATCTAAAAGTGTTATTTTAATACTGATTTCATCTGTTGAAGTAATTCCATAGGAGAGGAGTTTAATATAGTGAAAATCAAAGACAGTTACTTGCATGTAAGATTTGAGTGTGACTTTCTCTGCAGCTTAATCAGAATTTGAAGTGATGAGGGCATTCTAAGATCAGAAACTTGAAAAAAAGAAAAAAAAAATCAGAAACTTGACTACTGAAATTACCTGTACCTTGACTAACTCAGAGTTCCTTATAATGATGTTAAACTTTCCAAAACTCCAATTTTGTTTAATTCACTTGAACTTGATTTTATTATTTTAGGATTAGCTTTGGAGAGATGTTATCTCCTGTGGTCCGAGAAGCAGAGGTGACCCGAACAGCCCGTAAACAGCGTGCTCAAAAAAAAGTTTTAAGTATCCTTTACATTTTATACATCATTATTTTAAAAATTGCAAGATGCTCAGATTCTAAGTGGTACACTTTTTTTAAAAATTGGTTTGTATACATTGTTTTATTCGTGTGCATTGTGTTTAATACAATCATAGAAATTGTATTTTTTTTAATTGTATTTTTTATAATTACTATTGATACAATAGAACTGTGACAATGTTGTGTCAAATGCGATAATGGTTACCCATGGTGGACAGTGTTTGATGAAAACAAGCTTGGAAGCAGGAGTGGCATCCACTTCCGAAATAGCTTGCCTCAGGAAACCCTATAAACCTGGAGAAAGGATGAAAGTTATACAGAAGTGTCCAGGACTTTCGTTCATAGGCTCAGTATGAGTTGCCTATGACTGGATGGCACGTAACAATAGCAACAGCATAGAGAGAGATAAGGTGGCCTAGTGGACAGAAAGTGATGCTCCCAAGCCAAAGGTGGGTGACTTTTTAATCCGTTGGCCTCAGGCCTGTTTTTCATTGTTTTTGGTCAAACATTCTTCTATGTCGTATAGCCCTGGTGTGTCCACTTGCTGTACAGAGGTAACTCATTGCTGTCAGATGTGATAATGATTACCCATGGTAGACAATGTTTGATGAAGCTCCCCGATTAAAACAAGCTTGAAAGCAAGAGTTGCATCCACTTCTGAAACAGCTTGCCTCTGGAAACACGATGAACCTGGAGAAAAGGATGAACATTATACAAGTGTCCAGGTCTTTCATTCATAGTGTTGCTATGAGTCACCTACAACTCAATGGCACTTAACAACAACAATATTGATAAAATTTTCTTTCTAATGAGTGGTTTTAATAAATATCAGTCAATTATAAATTACTACATTGATAAGGTATTGTCACTCCTTAGATGTATTATTTGTGTGTTAATGAGATTAAGATTTATGTTTTCTTAAATACAAATGTGTATTTTACTGCTGTCATATTGTAGCTACTTCTGCTAATGTTAAAGTTTTTAAAAACATCATTTACTATAGTAGTCTGTGACTAGCATCTTCAGAATTTAAATGGCAGGCAGAATTCTGTACTCTTTAGATCTCAAAAGGTAGCTATAAATTACTTTGCCCTTTAAATATCTTCCTGTGTTTTATATCATGTAAAGAAGTATACTTAGTTCTCATCTTAATGATCTCTTTTCTACATGGAAACTTTTCTTAACTTTTATAAAGCATGGGCATCTCAAGATGAAAGTTGTGTTTATACCACACCAAGAAACCAGGTTCTTCCTCGAAGTCCCATCTCGTTTCAGCAGCCTTGTAAGATATTTTGCTTTTAAAGCATTGAATAATAAGAATAAGAATAGAAACTAACATTCATTGGACCATTGTAAATATTTGGCTACACTGTCAATAATAATAAAAATTCAGCTACAAAAATTGTAGTGCATGTGCAAGTCACTATAAACCCACAGTAACTGTTAGATTGAGATTATCTCCACTTTACTGAAAGTGAGATTTTGTTACCAGCAACTTGGTACTGGTATTAGGGCAACCCAGGTACAAGGTTGTAGGACTGTTGTGATCCATGGAGTTTAGGGTTTTCATTGTTTGATTTTTATTTTTTAAAGTCAGACTTAAGAAAGTTAAATAATGTAGAGGCATAGCTCAGAAAGTGTTCATGTAAATAATGAAAGCGTAATTCAGACAATTTTACCTATACTCTAAAGATTCTATACTATATTGCTCCCAGTATGCTTCATAAAATTAGAAATTAAAGAATCCGTTAACACATTGCTTAGTCTCTTTTTATTTTAACTGCTTTGATTATTTTGTCATAAAAACGTCTGAGTGGTAAAAATGTTCTCTCACAGCCTCTATAGTACTAAAAAAATCAAATTTAGGGAAAGATGGTGAATCTTTGTGTTGTAAAAAATGTTACTGCTTACAGTATTTATTTGGTTAGAATCTACAGAACTGAAAATTAATTCTGCTTTATCATTTGATTGTTTACTTTGTCTTGATGATAACTGCTCATGCCCCTTCTATTCTTTTTTTGGTAGTTACTCCACCAAATCGAAGCTTACTAAGGCAGCCAGATATTTCCTGTATTCTTGGAGCAGAAGGAAGGTCACCCAGGCTTACACAGTCTTCAGGGTTCTTGGGGAATCTGTCTATGGTATGTGGAAAAATAAGAGTGAAATTCCGCCTTGTGTCAACTTATTACATTTAGTTGAAAAGCCTTTTTATGAGAACTTAAGTCTTACTTATTATTTTTGTCAGCAGAGTTCTCCTCAGCCCAAGTTTCTATCTCATGAATGCACAGAGGTCCAGCAACCACCTTTAGTAATTTTTTCCTTGAGGACAGACTGATTTAAAGATATGTCTTTATTGTTGCCTCTGTGTAGATTTTGGATAAAGATGAATTTTATTTAACTTCTTATTAATATTTTCCTTCATGCCACTCTCTACTTGTTGTTAAGGCTCCACAGAATTCACAGACAATCCTCAAGATATGGGATTAGGGATATAAGTTCGAGCTCAGGATCAAGAAGGACTTGGGATGAAGTTCTTCATTCAGGACAATCTCTTTTTAGCCAGGCTTGCAGGCTGGACTCTCTCTGGCTTTTGACTCTCGGCCCTTCAGGCCTCTTGGGCCAACATGGCCCCTGATATACTTGGACAAGTTACAGAGTGCTGTACTCTGCTACCAAGTGCTTAACAACGCCACATCTGCCAGCAAGTCTTCTACCTGAAGGCAGTTAGTTCTAGCTAACCCACTGCTCTGTCTCCTGGGTATAGGAGATTCCTAGTGCAGGGACCCTGGCCAAGGGACACATTGTGCTTTAGTCAGATCCTTAGGTCCTTCATTTTCACCTTGGAGATGGCACATTTCAAGCATAGCAGGAGTTCAGAACTGACCATTTCCTTCATTTGGTTTCTGTACCCTTTATTTGCACAGTCCTGGTCTTTACAAGGATGGCACCTTATATTATTGACAAGCCATCTGTTCCCTCTGGTGGGAATTATACAGCCCAGTTTCAGCAGTTATCAGTACATAGTTGATCTAGTTCCATGTGTACTTCATGAATACCTTTCACATGATTTTAGAAAAAAATTTAGGTAACCTGGCATTTCACCCATAAATTAATACATATTTGTAAGGACTCTTTAAGCATATTCACTACATTCATGTGTACCAGTTCTATTTTATTTCAAGCTTTTACTGTGTTTATGTGAGTTACAATAATTATTTCACTAAGTGCACAAATCTCCCTAATTTTTTGTGTGTTTTTTCAATTGGTCAGTTCAACTTTGTATCCAAACAAGGTCAACACTTCGGTTCTTTGTCTTTGCTATGCCTTAGAAAATTTAAACTTTTTGATTGGATTCTTTGCCTTTTTCTTATTGAGGTGCTGATGTATTCTATAAATTTTAGACGTCCCTTATCAGATACGTCATTACCTAATAATTTTTTCACAGACTATGGGTTTCCTTTACAGAGAAGATTTTTTTGTGTAGTTTTATTTTTTATTTTTTTTTTTTATTATTATACTAGTTTATTTACAAAATTTGAATACATTGTTTTTCCAGAACAGATTCTTCCAATTTCCCTCATCCCCTCATCAAATTGTACAACCCCATGATTGATTCTCTCTCCCCCTGCACATCTTCATCTGCTTCCACACACACCACCCCCCCATCCTCATACTCATTCTACAGTAATGGTTCACTCAGCATAATGCTCTCCAGTCCCTTGAAAGTTAGGTAATAATTTGCAAAATCATTGCTCCTGCATGCTCTATAGTATTCCATTGTGTGACTATTCCATAATTTCTCAATCCATTCATTTGTGGTTGGACATCTGGGCTGTTTCCATGTTCTTGTGATGGTGAATAACATTGCTATGAACTTTGGTGTACAAGTTTCTGTGCCTCAGTTCCCATTTTCTCAGGGTATATTCCAAATAGTGGAGTAGCTGGGTCATGTGGAATTTCAGTGTTCAGCTTTTTAAGGAAACGCCAATCTGCCTTCCAGAATGGTTGTACCATTTTACAATCCCACCAGCAGTGTATAAGAGTTCCTTTCTCGCCACATCCACTCCAACATTTATTACTTGCTCTCCTGTTTAACTTTGTCACTGTTTGATGTACATAGGGATTTGATTTTTAAAAGGTCCCATTCATCTGTTTTATCCTCTCCTGGTTGTCGGTCACAGCATAAATTTCCTTAGCAGAATAACCCATGACTTATTTCCCTACGCCATGGTGGTGTTGCTATGTGCCATCGAGTTGTCTGCAACTTGTAGTGACCCTATGTACAACAGCCCTAAAAACTCTGCCTTATCCTGTGCCAATCTCACCATCTCCGACACACGTACCCCCATTACCCCAGTCACTGAATCAGTCCATCTCAAGGATCTTCCTCTCCTTCGCTGCTATTTTTAAGTGAAAAATTTTGTGACATTTGTTTTTAGATGCCATTGAGTCAGAATGGACTCCTAGCTGGCTTTCCAGTGGGAATTCAGAGTATTTAAATTTCATGGGAAGAGATTGCGCATTTCCTGCGGAGTAGCTAAGGAGTTTGAACCATTTGCCTTTGGTTTGGCAGCAGAACTCCTTGCCAAAACATTTTCATTATCCCAAATGATAACCTTTTACCCAATAAGTTGGTAATCCCCCCATTCCCCCTCCCTTAAACCCTCAGCAACCACTAATCTGCTTTCTATAATTTTATCTACTCAAGATATTTCATATACATGAGTTAATGCTTGATCATTAGTGACTGGCTTCTTTCACTTGATTTCATGATTGCAGAATCCATGTGTTGTGTAGTATGTATATATTGATATTTCATATATTTTTGTGATTAAGTTGTATCCTAATTTATGAATATGCCACATTTGTTTATCCAGCTATTGATGGAGATTTAGTTTGCTTCCACTTTTTTCCTATTCTGAGTAGTGCCACTATATCCATTTGTATAATTTTTTAAATCCTTGTTTTCAGTTCTTTTGAGTATATACCTAAGAATACAAATGCTATGTCTATATTTTAAAATTGATAAATGCATGCATGATATTTATAAAGTATAAAAATAGAAAGTAAAAGCTTCCGTTGGTATAATTCTGTATCAGTTACTTTTTTGAATCTTTTTCCTCAATGATAATAGCTTTAACTTTCTATATCTTCTTTTTATTATTATTATTTTCTCAGATAACTAGCCTGGATGACAGTAATTGGACAACTGCATTCTCATCCCAGCGTTCAGGGCTTTTCACAGAGCCCAACACTGTGACAGAGGACATGACGCTCAGTGCTGTGATGCTCCATGAGGATGATCCTGGAGAAGCTGGTAAAATACATTGGAGTTTTGTTTGCTTGTTGCTTTCTTAAAACAAAGTAACAATCTCCTCCTTTTTCTGAGCTGTGTTATAGCAGTTAGTTACTAAATCAATTGGTTATAGTAATGGCTAAGTTATTTGATGTAGTACCTTTAGAGGATTGAGACTCACCTTAGTTCTCAGTCAGATCAGCATTTTGCTGGGGTTTTGGTCTGGGTGATGTTTTTTCCATATAAATGCATCCTCTTGGGTCACTGAGTAAGTCTTTGAGATTCTTATTTGTATTTTTCAAGTTGTGTTTCTTTTTTTAGGTTTATCTTTCTAATACTCGTAGTGTGCTTTGTTTTGACCTGAACACTAATGCTATTTTTAAACATACTGTTGTGATCTATAGTTTCAGGTTTGTTGTCACCTTTCTCCTTAGGCAACAAGCATTTGATGTCTGTAAACCTATTTATAGGTTCCTCCTCATTTTATCACTATCATAAGCTTGTCAGAACTAGTCATTGTTCTAAGCCTTGTACAAACATTAGCTCATATGATCCTTACCAACCCAAAAGGCAAACCCATTGCCATCAAATTGATTTAGACTCATGGTGACAGAGTAGAACTAGCCCATAGGATTTCCAAGGCTCTGATCTTTATGTAAGCAAACTGCCATATGTTTTTCTTACGGAGTGTCTCTTACGGTAGGTTCAGGTTGCTCACCTTTCATTTAATAGGCAAATGTGTAACCATTGCTCCACGAGGGATCCTTATAATCCTTACCATAAGCCTTTAAAATAGTGATAATAATCATGTCCATCTTAGAGTGAAGCACTCTACTACTCAGAGACATTTAATAGTTTATTACCTGGGTAGGAAGTGATGGCACTAGGATTTTAAAGTAAGCCCTTTGACTCTAGAGTCTTTTTTTTAACACTGCAGTAACCACTACATTTTATTTTTTAGCCAATGATAGCTCCTCAAATTTGAGTAACTTCTTATTAAACCGTTTGTACTTAATATATGAAATACAAGAATTCCATTTTACTATGAATAGTTGGCTGAGATCTTAAATATTATACATTATAATGGCACAGTGTATTATTTTCCCCAAGCAGAACATGTTTTTTTTCTGTCTTCCATCTATTTATTAATGTTCACGTTATGTGGGTTTGTAAACTAAGCAACCCTAACCTCACCTCTTATTTCCAGTATGTGCTATCTGCTGTATACGAGTGTGCTCATTATTTACATGAGCCCAGTATATGTGACAATACTGAGTTACAACTTTCTCAATTATTTTTTTTATGCATTTAAGATATAAATCATACATTATAACACTTGGCTCTTTATTTTTTTTTATATATAGATACAGAAAAGATTAGTAAATGTAACACCTTTGGTATCTTAAAGGACTCTTACTATGTTTTTAAGTTTTTAAACAAGCAATCACCTGAAAGTTAACTTCCCTTTTTTCCTTTTCTTTTTAATGTGCTCCAGCATCCATGAGTATGTTCTCTGATTTCCTGCAGTCTTTTTTGAAGCACTCTTCAACTACAGTTTTTGATCTTGTAGAAGAATATGAAAACATTTGTAGCAGTCAGGTAAGCTGATTTTATTTCATTCTTGAAAAAATGTCAGTACCTTTTTTTTTTAAAGCACAGCATTAGCCTGCTGATTTCCACACTGTTTAAAAGAGTGTTTTAGGAGTTAAGCAGGAGTGATGAGAATGGTTTCCTAGGGCAACTTTACTTTTTATTTTCTGAAGGTCTATGTAAGATTTCTTTCGAGGCAGAGGACTTCTGTTGCTTTTAAGAAATGGGCTTCAAAAAAAGGAAAAATTTGAAAACTCTTGTTTTAAGAATAATTAATATCATGGTGTTTTGTTATGCACTTAATATTGTTTGAAAAAAAAATATTGTTTGCATATAAGTAGTTGGTCTCTATTCCACAATCAGCACCTGGCCTAGTTTTCACAGCTGATATTGAGCTTCTCCACCAATTCTTTCCACAGATGTTCGGTCTGATTCCTATGCATACTATCAGGTGAAATCCATGTGTATAACCTGCATTTATGGCTCTTATAAAAATGTATTTGCAATGAATAAGTCATTGATTCTGCAAAATTAAATCATTCTATCTCCAGCTTCATTTCTGTCACCGAGTCCATGTTTTCCAGCTACTGATTGCTCTTCTCTGTTCCCAACTTTTGCATTCCAGTCACCCATTATTATCAATGCATCTTGATTACATGTTTGATTGATCTCTGACTCTAAAAGTTGGTAAAATCTTCTATTTCCTCTTCTTTGACTCTGGTTGTTGGAGCATATCTCTGAATGATAGTGATATTTACTGGACTTCCTTGTATGCATATGGATATTATCCTGTCGCTCACAATATTATATTTCAAGACATCTAGAAATAATGTCTTTAACTATGAAAGTCACCCTGTTTTTCTTCACCTTTTCATCTCTGGAATAATAGATCATATGATCATCCAACTCAAAATGCCCTATGCCAGTCTATCTCATCTCGGCAGTACCTAGTATGTCAATATTTATGCATTCCATTTCTTCCTTAAAAATATCTAATTTTAAAAAAAAAAAATCTAATTTTTGGCGAGCTCTGGTGGCCTAGTGGCAAGAAGCTGCAACTGCAATCTCAGAGATGCACGGTTCGAATCCACCAGATGCTCTGCTGGAGAAGGAGGAACAATCTCCTCCTGTATCAGTCAGATCTGATTTGACAGTACACACAAAAAAAATAATGAACTAAAATAAATTTTTAAAATAAATCTAATTTTCCTACATTCATCGTTCTCACATTCCATGTTCCACTCACCAGTGTCTGTTTATAACTGTTCCTCTTCCTTTGCATTTCCATACTTGAAAGCTCTGCCTCAGTTGCTGTGTCTGTTAGTCTGTGTGTGTCCTGTTGTACATAGAGTTTTCAGAGGCCTACTATTTTGGAAGTGGATGGCCAATCCTTCTTCCTAGTCTGTCTTAATTTGAATGCTCAGATTTAGAGAGGTATCTGACAGACAAGCATTTTATGGGAAAAAAGCAGATGAAACAACAAACAATAGTATTTGTTCCTATTCCAAAGAAGGGTGACCCAACAGAGTGTGAAAACTATAGAACAATATCATTGATTTCAGAACAGTATCATTGATTTCACATGCAAGCAAGATTCTACTGAAGATTATCCAAAAAAGACTGGAACAGCACATCAGCATAGAACTGCCAGAAGTCTAGGTTGGGTTGAGAAGGGGTTGTGGTACTAGGGATATTGTAGCTAATGTTAGATAGATCTTAGCTGAAAGCAGGGAATACCAGAGGAATGTCTCTCTGTGTTTCATTGATTATGCAAAGGCATTTGGTTGTGTGGATCATTACAAACTGTGGCTGACTCTGAGAAGAATGGGAATCCCAGAACACTTGATCGTGCTAATGCGAAACCTATACTTGGACCAAGAGGCAGTCCTCAGGACAGAGCAAGGAAACGCTGCATGGTTCAAAATTGGGAAAGGCATATGCCAAGGATGTGTCGTGTCTCCATACCTTTTCAACCTGTATGCAGAGCAGATTATCTGGGAGGTTGGGCTCAATGAGGAGAAGTGTAGCATCAGGATGGGTGGAAAATCTGTCAACAGCCTGCGTTATGCAGATGACACAACCCTGCTTGCTGAAACTGAGGAGGACCTGAAGCACTTGCTATAGAGGATCAAGGACTGCAGCCTTCAATATGGGTTGAGATTCAGTATCAGGAAGACAAAGAATTCTCACCACTGGACCAATTGGCAGCATCAGAATGGATGGATGGTGAAGAGATTCAGATTGTTAACAAGTTTAGTCTGCTTGGCTCCACAGTGAACATTCTTGGCACCAGCAGCCAGGAAATTAAAAGACATATTGCGATGGAAAAGTCTGCTGTTAGGGACTTCTCAAGGTTACTGAAGAGCAATGGTGTCACTCTGGAGACTAAGGTACATCTGATACAGCCTGTGGTCTTTGCAATCACTAGTTATGCATCAGAGAGTTGGACAATGACGAGGGAGGATAGAAGGAGAATAGATGCCTTTGAGCTATGGTGCTGGAGAAGAGTTTTGAGGGTATCATGGACTGCTAAGAAAACAAACAGATTCAGCCTGGAGAGGGTTAAACCAGGCTGCTCCTTGGAGGCAAGGATTCTGAGGCTTCGTCTAACATACTTTGGGCATGTTATAAGGAGGTCCTTGGAGAGGGACATGGTTGGGAGGGTGGAGGGACAGTGCAGGAGGGGAAGGCCCTCTATAAGGTGGATTGATTCAGTGATGGGTAATTTGGATAGGTGTGTCAGAGGCAGTGCAATTGGCACAGGACAGAGCAGAGTTTAGGGCTGTTGTACATAGGGTCGCTATGAGTCTCAAGCGACTCGACACCACATAACAACAACAACAATAGTTAATTTCTGAATTGTTCCATTATAAAGATAGTATTTTCATTGACTAAAAAAATGGGAACAAATAGATTGATTGGAGGAAAATTTAAAATTTTAGGTATATTCTCTTTCAACTCAGCTCTGAGTCTTTCATGTAGGCAAAATGAGCAGAACTTACCCACCAGAGTTGAAAAAATTTATGGACAAGAAATTATCCTTGAAATTAAATGGTTACAGACAGACATGTCCAGGGAATTTTGGGAGGATTTGATCCCTTTAATGAATCTTGTAATAGATGAATGTGTGGAGACGTTAACTAGTGGACAGCAAAACAATATTGGAATGGTGGTAATAGTATCATGTTAGAATCTTTGGAGCATGTATAAATAATGACTGTTTAGCAGAGAAATCCATTACTTCCATGTTTCCCTTCTCCCAAGGACCTATTATACTCTTGGACAAAAATCAAGCTTTGTACCTTCTTACTAAGTTTTTGTTCAATAAACTTTTTGTAGTAGTACAAAAAAAAATTTTAATAAAGTGTGAAAGGTAGAAATCATGCTTTTGTCAAACACTGAATGTCAAACACTAGTAACATTATTCTCTGAACACTTTTTAGAAGGTAGGAAACTTGTAATAAAGATTCTTAATATTTTTAATGAATGCCCCGGTTTCTTAATTCCCATGGATAACATAACAAGTATTAACCATAATCTTTGATAAAGATCTTTTTTCTCTGAATTATTAAACCTTTTGCAGTTATATGTATAGTTTTGTGTGTATCTCTGGGGTTATCATAACTCTTCTTAGAGTTATGTGCCATCGAATCAAGTACAACTCATAGCAATCCTGTGAACAATAGATCTGAACCCGGCACGATCCTGTGCCATCCTCATCGTTTCTGACACTCCTGAGCAGGATGGTCCTTTTGACAATCCATGAAATATTAACTATGCTTCTCAATATCACAGTTCAGAGGCATCAGTTCTTCTGTCATCCTTATTCATTGTGCAGCTTTCAAGTATAGCAAGTGATTTAAAAGACCATGGCATGAATCAAGCACAGCTTAGTCTTCAGAGTTTGGAGAGGTCCCTGACAGTAGACTTGCCTCTTGCAATATGTCTCTTGATCTCCTGACTGCTGTTACGACAGGTGTTGATTATGGATCCAAATAAGGTGAAATTGTTGAAAATTTTAATCTTTTTTCCTTCTATCATGATGCTTTCAATCCAGTGCTAAGGGTTTTTGTCTCCTTGACAAAAGGCAAACAAGGTTGTGGCATCTCCATAATGCAAGTTGTTGATGAGTTTTCATCCAATTCTGATGCCACATTCTTCTTCATAGAGTCCAGCTTCTTGGATGATTTGCTCAGCATACAGATTGAATGCATATGGAGAAGGGTTTTATAACCTTGACTCATACTCACCCTGATTTTAAACCATGCAGTTTTCCTTCACTCTATTCAGGAAAAGATTCTTGGTCTAGGTATAGATATTGTATGAGCATGATTCAGTGTGTTGGGATTCGCATGCTTGTTAATTAGTCATAGTTTGTTATGATATATATAGTCAAATACCTTTATATAGTCGCCAAAACACACTGCACAGTCTTCTGATATTCTCTGCTTTCAGCAAAGATCTGACATCAGCAGTGATATCCTTGGTGCCACTTTTGAACTCAGCTTAAACTTCTGGCAGTTTTCTGTAAAAGTACTGTTCTAGCTGTTTTGGATAATCTTCAGCAATATTTTACTTATATTTGATAGTAATGATATTGTTAGATAATTTTCACATTCTGTTGGATTACCTTTCCAATGGGAATGAATATGGATCTCTTCCAATCAATTGGCCAAGCAACTCACCTCCAAATTTCCTGGCACAGACAAATGAATATGCCCAGGGCTGCATCTATTACTTGAACATGCTGGTATTCTATCAATTCTTGGGGCCTTATTTTTTGCAAGTGCCATCAGTGCAGTTTCAACTTCTTCCTTCATTACCATTGGCTTTTTTATCATATGGTACTTCCTGAAATATTTCAGTGTCACACAGTTCTTTTTGATACAGTGACATTCTGTGTATTCTTTCCATCTTTTGATGCTTCCTAGATCATTCAAGATTTTGCCCATAGTATCTCCCAGTATTGCAACTCATATTTTTCAGTTCTTTAGAAATGTCAAGCAATTTATTTTTTCAATTCCAGCTCTTGGCACAATCTGTAATTATATTTTGCTTTGTCTTCTTGAGCTGTCCTTTAAAAATCTTCCATTTATCTTTTTTACTTTGGCAATTCTTCCCTTTGTTTGGCTTCTTGACACTAGTGCAATTTTCAGAGTCTCTTCTGGCATCCATTTTGGTCTTTTTCCTCTTCTGTATCTGTAATGATTTTTTGCTCTCTTCTGAATGCTGTGTTTGATGTCATTCTTTAACTCATCTTCTATCACTAGTGTTCAATGCCTCAAACTTATTTTGGAGATGATTTTTAAATTTAAATGGGGCTCTTGTGAACTTGTTTTCATTTTCTTCTGCTTCAGTTTTAATTTGCACATGAGTAATTGATAGACTTGACGGCCGTCAACATTTGAAAGTCTTTTCCACATTCAGTACCTGCCCTGATTTTGACTGCTTATGGGAAGTTCATTCAACTCATATGTGGTCAGTCCTAAAACAGATTTTGGTGTGCTAAAGAGTCATAGTAACCCTGTATAAAACAGAAGAAGATTCTGTATATCATCATAATCGTGTGCCATTGTCATTATCTCTACTGTCTGTATGTACATTGTTGCAGTCTCTTTGCCAGTGCTGACTCATTGAGTATCTTCCTCTCTTTCACTGACTCTGAAAAAGTTTAGAACTTCTCTTTTTTGGAAGCAGGGGTGGCATCCACTTCCTAAACAACATGCCTCTGGAAATTCCATGAACTTTGAGAAATGATAGTATCAGAAGGCTTTCAGGTCTTTTGTTCATAGAGTCACTATGAGTTATGCTTGACTCGATGGCACTCAACAACAACAATGTTTAGAACAAGGGTTGACTTGTTACATGGTGTATATTTTTCAACCATGCTTTCAAGATCTCTAGTTTTCAGTTATTACTATGTTTATATTATGATTTTAGCAGCCATAGATTATATATAGCTTATTTTCAACCTCTGGCTATTATTGTGGAATATGAAACCTATAAATGCTATGCGTGTCACCCAAAGTTAAGACTTTTTCTTTTCCCATAACCAAACAGAGCAATCTTAGCAATTCCTATATATACAGTTCAATGTCTTTGGTTATAATCTTCAAATCTTCTCAGCTTTCTTGATATCTGTTTCCAGATTACTTCACTTTTTGTTGACACAGACTCAACTATCCACTAAGTTTCTCATTTAAATTTTAGGATTGCTGCTGCCCATTTGATCACATAAAGATACTTTTTTTCAAAGGACATACTGTTCTAATTAACCTACAGTATTATTTGGCTTCTATTATTTCATTCATCAGCGTTGAAGACTCTCCTTCATAGGGTCGCTGTGAGTCGCCTGAGACTCGACAGCACTTAACAACAACATTATTTCAATCTTCTCAGTGATAAAGCACTGGTCTGTCCATTTACTATACAAAGATAACTTGAGGTTGCTGCGATGCTACACACTGTGACACTGATGTGTCAAATGCAATAATAGTTACCCATGGTGGACAGTGTTTGGTGGAGCTTCCTGATTAAAACAAGCTTGGAAGCTTGAGTGGCATCCACTTCCGAAATAGCTTGCCTTGCCTCTGAAAATTTTATGAATGTGGAGAAATGATGAAAGTTATACAAGTGTTCAGGTCTTTCATTCCTAGGGTCACTATGAGTCATCTCCAATTCGACAGCATTTAACAACAACAGCAATATTACTTGGCTTAAAGATGATTTCAAAGAATAGTTTTAGCTTAAAATTTAAAGATTTCCTCAGGATACTTATTTCAGCATGCTTGTTCATTTAGCCTCAGTGGCTTCAGAAAGTCTGAATTTTGTGAGAATTTAAAATTCTGTTCCACATTTTTACCTTTTTGATCAAGATTCTTCTATAGACTCTGATCAACATTTTCATTTGTAATAGCTGGATTGTACTGTTTCTGGTTTTATGACAAAGAACGCAGTTATTTATGTCAGATTAGATACACGTTTCCATTCCTCCTTTGTATTCTTACTATCTTTTTCCTTTGCTACTCCAGGCAAATAGAAACCAATTGTTGTTTCTAGTTGGCCAGTTATATGGCCACTTTATAGCTTTTAAGACCAGAGGTACCACATATTAAAGTTAGAACAAAAGCACTAAAATCAAAGTTAACTGATAGGTCCCACAAAACCATGACCCTAAAACTTGCAAACTAGGAAACCAGCTTCCATGATTTATTTGTAGGTAGGTAGGTAGTATCAGCCGGTACTGCTTTTACTCTTTATAGAAATGTATGCATAAGTCCTAGCCCACTGCTGTCAAGTCTCTTCTAACTTGTGGGGGCTTGGAAAAGTATTTGTTGTATTTTTACAACAAAAAAAGAGTGAGTTGTGTTTAGACTATAAACCTTTGCTGAAGGAGATTTCCTCCTTTCCTCTCTTAGAACAGCTATGGATTTGAATACTTGCCCTTTTAGTTCACACAAGACGCTATGTCCCCAGAGCTCCTTATATATAAACATTTAAATCAAGACCATTTTATAAGGAATTTTATATTAAATTTTAAGAAAGCAGAAAAATATTGTAATTAATTTTAACGTAACATACCTAAAGAGTATAAAGTTATTAATGACTCAAAAGTTATATAATACTAATTTCTTTGACTATATATTTAATTCAGGTGAATATACTGAACAAAATAGTGAGCCGAGCAACACCTGGACTCCAAAAGTTTTCAAAAACAGCCAGCATGCTCTGGCTTCTTCAGCAAGAGATGGTCACATGGAGGCTGCTGGCATCTTTATATAGGTAAAGTTGTGTTAAAACCATACCCACTGCCGTTAAAAGTTAACCCTGACACCTAGCTATCCACCATTGGGTTTCCAAGGCTGTAAATCTTTATGAAAGACTTCCCATCTTTCTCTCAAAGAGCAACTGATGGATTCCAACTGTTGATCTTTCAGTTCGTTGTTGAGGATCTTTTCTTTTTCTGACCCTCTTCCTTTCCCAGCAAGATGTATTTTTCCAAGGAGTAGCCCTTCCTGACAACCGGTGTTAATTTCATTGAAAGGAAAGACAATACTTAGTGTGGGTCAAATCAGTACAGTGTGATAAAGTAAAGGAAGCTTTGAAGCAGTATGCAAGAATAAAGTGTAATTACATTAAGTTCTGTAGCATACAGTTTTGCAACAAGAGTAATAAATAATAATTCTGAGCAGAAACACAATATAGGACCTGGTTAGAATGGATGAAAAATGCAAAACAAAATTCAAATTCATAGAAAAAGACCAGACTTACTGGTCTGACAGAGACTGAGTAAATTCATGATACTGTTGTCCTAAAACAACCTCTAACTTGGAACTGAAGACCAGAGTCCACCTTACAGCCAAATAATGGACTGACTTATAAAATAAAAAACCCATAAGGAATGAACTCTGTAGAGCAGTCAACTATTAGAGACCAGAAGGACAGCTTCTACCCACAAGCAAAAATAAGAAGGTAGGGAGAAAGAGGGAAGCTTTATAAATGGAAGTAGAACCTGGCATAGAAATGGAGAGGATTGTGGGAGTAGAAACCAAGTCATGAAGCAATTTTTATGTATGAATGCCCCCACCCTATTCTCTAGCATCCATTGGTTTTCTCTTTTATTTAATCTTTGATTATTAATTGAATGAGAGTTTACATAGCAGCTCAGTTTTCAGTTTTAACAATTGATGCACTTTTTTAATGTCATCTTGCATGGCATGTTGCAATCTACAATATACCATCGTTCATCTCACGTTCTTCCTGTGTTACTCATTTCCTCTCCACTTTCTTTGCTAACCCTTCCTGCCTTAAGAACTTGATCTTTTATAGGGGAGCTCTGGTGGCCTAGTGGCAAGAAGCTGCACTGCAATCCCAGAAGCACATGGTTCGAATCCACCAGATGCTCTGCCGGAGAAGGAGGGACAATCTCCTCCTGTACCAGTCAGACCTGATTTGACGGTACACACACAAACAATAAAATAAAAATTTAAAAAAAAAAAAAGAACTTGGTCTTTGGGCAGATGCTGCCCTTTTTACCTCCAGTGATTGATTTTTCTAAAGAGCATTCCCCTCTAGTGGGATTGTTTACCTTGTGGACCTGTCTAATTTGGTTGGTTGAAAGTTGAGCCAAGGAAATGAGTTTAGTTCCAGACCAACAGAGTGACTAAGGGCCGCAGTCTAGGGGGGGGTTCCATAAGTCGCTGTGTGACCAGTAAGACTGATCATCTTTATGATAATTTGTTCTACATTTTTCTCTCATTCTATCCAGATCCTTCTAATGTAACTCCATTTCAGAGCACTTGGTAGCGGCAGCTAGACACTATCCAAATCTGGTGTCAAAGTCATGGAAGCTGAGGTTTAAGTGGTCCCTTAATCCAGTTGTTTCTATGCCCCTTTGATTTTCTTCATTCTTCTCTGTCCCAAATGGAGAAGAAGACCTTACACATATGCTTTTAAAATCAATTGCTATTCACCAAAATAAGGTATAGAACGTTTTCTTAGTGAACTGTTGTTCTAGTCAACCTTGACATCCTTCAAGGCTATGATTCTAAGCCTCCAATCCCAAGTGTATATAGAAGAGATAACTTTAGCACATTACAATATGCAAAAAAACTCCCCCAAACTTCAGGTGCATTCATTAACTGGAGAATTAAGATGTTCTTTTTGCTGTAGTGTCTTTTAAATGTTCTCATTGTTTTATTTTTTAGAAAATAACAGGTTTGTTCAGATGTCAGTATCATAATTCAGAAAGTGTGTGTATTGTTGATGTTGTGATGTGCCATTGAGTCACCTTCACCTGCATCTCATAGTGACTCTATGCACAAAGCTCTGTACCTTGCTCTATCCTGACCCAGTCTCACTGTCTCTGACATACCTACCCTTATTACCCCACTCATTTTGTCGATCAATCTCATCTGGGTCTTTCTCTCCTGCTCTGTCCCTCGATCCTTCCAAGCATGATATCCTTCTCCAAAGACTGGTCTCTATAGACTACATGCCCCAACAGAATCTCCAAATCCTTGCCTCCAAGGAGTATCTTGGTTTTACCCTTTCTAGGTCAGACCTGTTAGTTCTCCTGGCACATGGTATGTGTATACTCTTTTACCAGCACCACAATTCAAAGGCATCAGTTCTTCTGTCATCCTTTCTCATTGTCCATCTCTTTGATACATAGTAAATAATTGCAAAGACCATGGCTTGAATCTAGCACACTTTTAGTCTCTAGACAGCCTTACTTTTCAGCAAGAGCTGAAAGTGTATACTACTAGTATCTTCTATTTCAGTGTGATGTCTAAGTTTATTGGAAACCCATTTGCTTTCACTGGATAGAAAGGAGATGGGGAGTGGTGTCTATACACGCACGTGCGTGCGCACCCAGCTTTTGATCTATAGGTCCTTCTGTTGTATGAAATATATATTTTTTAGTGCAACAATGAATGAGTGGAAGCCCAAAATCTCTGTAAATGTTTATGAAAATTAATAAAATATAATTATAGAA